AATCAGAAATAATCAATCAACGATTAGGTCTTAACCTTCGGGATGGATCGAAGATTTACCTGCAAGTAAAGGAAACGTAAACGGGGGATAAGTAAATACTGCGAAATTGGGACTACATTTTCTAGATTTCAATTCAAAAGTTAAAAAAAAAACCCTTAATGAGTCCGCAGTATCACTCCCACGAGTGGATTCGTGGCAGTTCAATAGTTTTGAGCACAACGAATCAATCAATTAATTTTACCCGATACTCAAAATGAGTATTGGGGTATATTAGATTTGTGGTAAAAGTGGATGTGTGTAACGTCCAGAAGGAATCGTTTACGACCCCATAAAGTATATACATTCTTGATCAGCATCAATAGCCGAGTCGATTGAGCCCTGTCTGTCTGTCCGTCCGTCCGTCTGTCCGTCTGTCCGTCCGTCCGTCTGTCCGTCTGTCCGTCCCCTTCAGCGCCTAGTGCTCAAAGACTATAAGAGCTAGAGCAACGATGTTTTGGATCCAGACTTCTGTGATATGTCACTGCTACAAAAATATTTCAAAACTTTGCCCCGCCCACTTCCGCCCCCACAAAGGACGAAAATCTGTGGCATCCACATTTTTAAAGATACGAGAAAACAAAAAACGCAGAATCGTAGAGAATGACCATATCTTTTAGACTGCAGAATCTGAATTGGATCGTATTACTATTATAGCCAGCATCAAGAAAACAATTTCATTTTTTCTCGCCCTGTCTCTCTCTAACACACAGGTAGCATAGGCGGCTTTGCTTAGAGTAAAACATTAGCGCCTAGATCTCAGAGACTATAAAAGCTAGAGCAACCAAATTTGGTATCCACACTCCTAATATATCGGACCGAGACGAGTTTGTTTCAAAATTTCGCCACACCCCCTTCCGCCCCCGCAAAGGATGCAAATCTGGGGATATTCACAAATCTCAGAGACTATTAAAGCTAGAGTAACCAAATTTGGTATCCGCACTTCTGTTAGATCTCACTATAAAACGTTTATCTCAAAATTTCGCCCCACCCCCTTCCGCCCACACAAAGGACGAAAATCTGTTGCATCCACAATATTGCAGATTTGAGAAAACTAAAAACGCAGAATCATAGATAACGACCATATCTATCAGATTGCTGAATCTGGATCAGATCAGATCATTTTTATAGCCAAAGGAAACAAATCAATTTGCAGTGGCTACGCAGCGCGTGACGTCACGCTCAGACTGATTTTCTGTCTCTCTCGCACGCACTCTTTGTCGTGTCGTTTAATATTAGCGGCGTCTGCCGGAGGAGAGCCATACTGACTTAGTATCGGGTATAACTGTAGAGTTGCGGTGTCCGCAGCAACTCACAACGTTCCCCCTCGTTTTACTTTAAAGTTACAAAATAAAATATACTCAAAAAAAGAAAATAAATCAAAATAGTAGAATAAATAATTAAAAATAGTAGAATAAATAATTAAAATTTTAATAAGTAATAAAATAAAAATTTTGTAAAAACAATTATAAGTATAAGCTTTTCTAAAAATATTAAATGATATTTTTAGATTGAAGTTAATGCCTGGCGTAATAAACAAAAGTGTAAACTTGTAGCATGAAAATAAATAAATACAAAATAAGAGAAATATAAATTTAGATCTTTATATTTCTCTTATTTTTTTTATTTATTATTATTTTTTTTCCCTAAGTTTACACTTATTTTTACTCAAAACATGCGAGCGATAAGTGCAAATAATCCCTAATTACTGAAGGACTTTTTGTCCATAGAAACATAGAGAGAATGTGGCCTGGGCATCCCTCTGCCGCCTCTGCCACTGCCACTGCCTCTGCCCCTTCCTCTGCCCCTTGCACTTTTGCTGGCAGAAAACTGATTTCTAATAATCCAAAAAGAAGGTTAAAGGAGCTTGTTTCGAAGAGTGTCCAAAAGGAACGAGTGCAGGGTTCATGCAGGGTACTCGAGTGTCCACAAACACATACATACATACATATGTACATATGTACACATGCATAACCTCAATTTGTGCATAACATAACCTCAATTCCTTTAATGTTAACAGGCCTCCCGCCCACTTCCCCCATGCCCAATGCCCCCCCACTAGCTCAACATTCATTTTGTTACATGGAAATCGATAAAGAGTATTCGATTACAGGCCCGATAAGATATGATGTGGGTACCACACACACACATAGATATGCAACATTTTGGGGCGGTACAAAAGCTGTACCTGCTGCCGCCACCCCGAAGCGACGACGATAGCCGCTGATGATAACTGTATCAAAACTGTGTCAAAGAGCAGCTGCCAATGGAAATCGAAATTATAAATCAATTTGCAGGCCTTCGGAGCGGCTCTCTGATCTCTCAGCGATAAGATTGTCGGGGCAGGCAGGGCGGGGGTGGGGCGGGGCAGGGCTTTAGCATAATTACGCGACACACGATTCGGAAGGGGCAGGCAAAGGCAAAGGCAAAGGAAAGCCTAAACGTAAGTGTGGAAGGGGCAACTTAAGCGGCTTACCAGAGACTAGATATAGACCCTTTAGACCCTTTACATAGTTTGCCGCCCAATGCCTCACGAGCGAAGCAGCACGCGAGTGTACGGTGTGCGGTGTGTGTGTTCCTACGTGATGTTTTAATTAAAGCTACAAAGACACACAGATACAGACACAGACACAGAAACGACGACGACTGTCCGGTCAGAGTGTCGCCAGGCAGTCGGACAGGCTATCGGTCATTAACTTGTCTGGAGGCAGGCGCTGTACAGTGAAGCCTGCCTAGGCTGAAAGACTGCTCTTTGAGAACACATCAAAGACGGTTTGCAGTCAGTCAGCCTTGGATTTGCATCAATCTATAGTTCTTAGACATCTATATGTCTGATCTGATAACTATGAAGACGCCCCTCTGTACCCTATATTTGAAGAACACGAAGAACTTCTTTGTGGGTTCTTTGAAGGCTTCTTTCAATATCTCCATCCTTCCAGCCTTCCAGCAAGAGATCCAGCCCAAGAAGGTTATCACCTTCGTAGAAGGACGAACAGATAGCCACCATAATGGCGCTGGACTTGATTCCAGGCGGAATAGACACCGTAAGATCAGAGTCTCTGCAGATTTCAACAGAAAGCTTTAAAGATATACCACTTTCCAGATATCGAAGGCGGTTCCGAGGAGGCATTACAACCAGCAGAGGAGGGTACTCAAGAGAGTGTCTATATGCATCGATTTGTATCTTTGTTGCACCTGAAGGTACAGCCGTATGGTTGGTGGGTTCTACGGCAACAAGTCGGGGCCGTAAAAGAGTTGATTGCTGAGTACGAGCATAAGCCCCAAAGACGATTTGAATTTAAGCGAATACAAACGAGTTGTTTGCATGACCGCCACGACGAAGGCACAGCTCAATAGGGAATTCGGAATCCTGGGTGTGGTGCCGCAACCGCTACTGGAAATCCGTAGCCCCCGCATTTAATTGCGGCAATCAAATGGGGTTTACGGGGCGTGGTCACCTGGGAAATTTACCGCTGCCTCGCCATACATCATTTCGTTGGGGCTTTAATTTGACACATGATGTGGCAGTCCCCTCCCCTCCCCTCCCATCCCCACCCGTCCCGTCTTATTTGCAAAATGGCCGACACAGTTGTCTAACAAAATGGCCGCCCTGTCGCTTCCGCCTCGCTCCCGCCCCGACCCCGACCCCGGGCCCACCCCGCACAAAGTTCATTGGTTTCTGAGCGGCATTTTTCACTTGTTCTGGCAAATGACTTTGGCCACATGCTGGGGCTCCTTAACAGTGTCTCCCACGCCCACCCTCCCTCACTTTCCCGACCGACGGGGAAAAGTCTCTAAGCTGGGGCTAAGTTGGTCGCTTTTCCGCTGCCGGCGTTGCCTTTGCTTTGTCCTTTGGCATCCTGGCTACGACAACGGTTGCCGGCTTGTTGCTCTGCGCAACTTTTGCATTATGAAATTGTAAATGTAGCCAGGCACCCACCCACCCACCACCCCTTACCCCCCAGGCATGCCAGAGGGAGGACAAGAAATGTACACTGTGCAGCCTCACACGCATCAGAGGCATCCTCCTCCACTGACTAGAATCCTCTTTCGATAGTCCTTTTCGATAGATACATCGATGTTTTGTGGGAAACAAACATATTTTTTCCGCATTTATTCACTTTAATCTAATAAATGTCTCGAATGCCCAAGAACTGTCCACAAACAACAAACATGTCGTGGGCACAACTCGGCACACAGAACGCCTGCCCAACGCTGCTTTACACTCTCCATTGCTGGATCTCGTACCTTTTGTTGGACAGTGTTATTACGCATCAGTTCTGTCAGCCCAGGGAGGCTGTCCGAGCGGGGGGTAGGAAAAACCGATTTGCAGTTGGAAAAGCAAAGAAAAACAGCAGAGTTTTCACCCCCTTGCAACGAATTTTATCCATTTGGTTTCTGGTTTGTGTGCGAGTGTGCGAATGTGGCATAAAGAATTACATTTCGTATCTTTTGTTCAAAGTTTTTGCGCATTACGTATCGAAGGAACTGCGATTAATTCGAGTCAAACGACCGACGGGTATCTGCATCCTTAAGTTTCTTCTGCCGCCTACTGGTGTCTCTCCCAGCCAAGGATATCTGGGCAAACCTCAGGGTGTCACATTTTCAAGATACATTTCAAATGATACTCAAATACCGCTTAATCGATTGCACCTTTCAGAATCCACTCGAGTGCCACTAATATTTCTAGAACTCAATCGTTTCCTGACCTGCTATATCTCTGTCCCATTCGAAATGAGAGGTCAGTGTCGTTGTCCCTGACCTCTGGGTCTCGCGCCCCCTTAAATCGAAAGATTTTATTGAGTTTGTTGCTGATCTTAATGAGATTTTATTCTATTTTTAGCAGGGAAAGGTGCAACCCTCAAACCTCAACCCTCAATCCCAGTTCCACCCCCAACAGATGGAGGGTGGGTGCAACATCCAGCTGAGAGAGAGAGAGAGAGTCGAGAGTCTCATAGCAAATCTTAGCCCGACTTAATACGGGGATTATCATCCACATTAATATCCAAGTAAGAGTAAATGGTCCCCCTCCACACACCCTCGCTGATTATTTTGATCTCGAACATGTAGCTGCCCTTGGGTAGAGGGACTTTGGCGAACATTTGATCATCCAGAACAAAGTCTTTCAGGATAATATCGTGCTGTAAGAAGCCAGAGCAAAAGGAGAGTCACAAAATCCCATGGAGAGTGCATTCGTGGCACTCACATTGATGGGGCAAGTGTGGTTCACGTTGATGAAGGGCAGCATTGCGCCGTAGAAGTAGTAGAAGACGTTGAGGGGATTCGGGTGCTTCATGTAGTGGCAAAAGTCCACGGTGACGTTGAACAGGAACGGATGGTAGCCGGAGAGTTTTTGAAAGATGCTGAAATTGATGGACACCTTCCGAACTGGTAGTTTGAGCAATTTCACATGGACATTGGCTCCGATAATGCCACGTCCCAGCACGTTCAGGCGGCAGACAAGCGGCTTCGCATACGATGGATCCCGCGTTACGCATTTAATGTTCGTTTGGCGTGTCCTGATGTCCCCGAAAGCAGCCATTAGAGCCCCTGCCAGGAGCACCGATATCAGTGGGAACCTCATGGGTAGAGCGTTGCTCCTAAAATGAATGCTTCCGATCGCAAGGTACCTGAATTAGCCCGTTGCGAATCGTGATCGTTGAACTGTCACTAAACGCCCTTCGATCGGATATCTAACCATTCAGGTACCCGTTTAAATTAATAACTAAAAAACGCATTATACACATTGTTTGGTTGCGCAGGCAATGGCCTGAATAATTTATATACATATTATAGCCATACTGATAATGTGGTGGCGCAGTATGGTAAATCGCTATTATTGTCCAACGTACCACATGGTCATCCGCATATGTAACTGCGTTTGTACATATGTACATATGTATATTTATATTCTCGCACACGGCAGCAGCCCAGGCGGCTGTTCTCTCTTGTCTTTATCTCATCTCGCGCCTTTCTTTTCTTCCTTCGCTTTCGCTTTCGCTCTCGCTCTCGCTCTCTCGAGCTGTCGCGCTCTTGTCGAAGCTTCGGCTCGACCCGTCTGCCGTTGGACTTCGTCTTGGATTCTAGCTCGTGCAAAGCGACACCGTCTTGGACCGTCCCTCCCGCGTCCTCAAACGACAAACGACAGTCAACTGACTCGTCGTGCTCTCGTGTTGCATCTCTCTCTATCGCTCTTTTTACATGCACATATTACAAACACACAAGCGTTCTCGTTTTCGGCCCTTCACACATAGTGTAGTCCCCCGCAGGCGATCCGTTGCGGTTATTCTTCCCCTCTTATTCCCCTCCCTCTGCTCATGGACCTAATTCTGGACATCGCGCTGGATCTCGAGCTCCCAGTATTGGCTCGGTGGAAGGAAAAATGGCCCCCAAATCAGATCAAATACTGTACTGCATTTTTCTTTACTTTTTAGGCTACATTCATCCCCCTGCTAGGGGTTGTTTTCCTCTCTGCTTATTTTCCATGCGCTTTGACAAACCGTAATCCCCGGACTGTAAAAATACGGATTTAATTCCATTTTCCATATTTTATGGCCCTCCCTCCGAAATGGGGAAATGAGAAATGGTTCTCCACAGTGCTAATGGCCAGTTGTTAAATTTTCAAATTGATCTATGAATTTCACAGTAGGCTGCTATGCCATGCCCCACGCCCCATGCCGCATGCCTCTCCCCATCGAATGTTCGTTTGATGTTTCGTTTTTGGAGAACGGAGGGACGTAGTGTCAAAGAACTGGAGCTGAAGAATATAAATTTATGATTTATCGAAAGCATATGCCGTGCGCCCTCTACAGGAAGTTCCCCTCAAATGCCACTCGAATGGGGAGTTTTTTCCCATTTTACAATCGCTGGAGCATGTTTTGAATAGTTCTTTAGCGTTTGTGTGCATATAAGGAGATCAGATCGGATAGCATCCCCACCACTACTCCCCCGCCTGCGCACCGCAGAACCCCGACAGATGTCCCAGAGAACAGCTGTCCAGAGAGTCCTGTGGGATGTGCCCTGGAGTCAGAGTCAAGGATTCGAGTGGGAAAGTCGGAAAAACTTTCGAAACAACTCAAGTTCTGTTCTACGCGTTCTGTATATCCAGTATTTTTGTTATAATTAAACAGAAATTAGCGGGGAAGCCAAGGCGGAAGTTCAACAGCTGTGACCTAGGTGTCGGAAGAGCAGAGACAGAGCGCGCCCTAAAAATAGCTGAATTTTGAAAATTAATGTCTGCGGCGCTGCCCGCGTGACACTCCTCTCTCCTGAGTTATGTGTGGGTTAAGTGCTGCTGACAGATTACGCCAATGCCAGGGAAAGATGGGCAATACATACATATGTACATACGAGGGCGGTCCGAATTGTTTCCCTCCATGAACTACGCTCTGAATCTCTTCCTAGCTCGAAGCGGAAGATATATTCCTCAAAAGAGGAGGCTATACCCGTTGCAAGCATCCATTTGTAGGGGCTGAATAGGTGGGAGCATCGCCTTGAACAGTGTATTGACTTCGAAGGAGAATAATGAAAAAGAAACATTTCGGACCGCCCTCGACTGAGCGAAGCAGATAGTGGCAGCGTTTAGTGATAGTTCACCGATCACGATTCGTTACTAATGATTTTACAACGGGCTAATTGATACCTCCCCGAGATCGGAGGCATTCATTTCGGGAGCAACGCTTTACCCATGAAGTTCGCACTGATATCGGTGCTCCTGGCGGGGTTTCTAATGGCGGCCTTCGGCGGCATCAGGACACGCCACACGAACATTAAGTGCGAAACGCGGGATCCGTCGTATGCGGAGGTGCCTGTCTGCCGCCTGAACGTGCTGGGACGTGGCATTATCGGAGCCAATGTCCACATTAAAGTGTCCCAACTACCGATTCGGAAGGTGTCCATCAATTTCAGCGTCTTTCAAAAGCTCTCCGGCTACCATCCGTTCCTGTTCAACGTCACCGTAGACCTTTGCCACTACATGAAGCACCCGAATCCCTACAATGTGTTCCACTACTTCTACGGCGCCCTGCGGCCCTTCATCAACGTGAATCACACTTGCCCCATCAATGTGAGTGCCCCGATTGAAGCTGCCAATCGACTGACTCTCCTTTTGCTCTGGCTCTTTGCAGCACGACATTATCCTGAAAGACTTCGTTCTGAATGATCAAATGTTCTCCAGAGTGGCCGGGCCCAAGGGCAACTACATGTTCAAGATCAAAATAATCAGCGAGGGTGTGTGGAGGGGGACCATTTACTCCTACATGGATGTCAACGCGGAAGACAATACCCGTATTATCCCCTCGGGATAGGATTCTTCTATATAGCATTTTGGGAATATAGCACGTAATTTTGAAATATAAAACTCTCGACTCTTTCTCTCTTTTTCTTGGTTTTTTTTTTATCATAGCTGGATGTGGCACCCACCCCATCAACAGGGGGGTGAACAGGGTTTGAGGATGCACCTTTTCCCTGCTAAAAATCGAATAAAATCTGATTCAGATCAGTAACAAACAAAATAGAATCTATCGTGCGACACCGCTCGGCTAACAATGACAATGTCCAGTGACGTCCCATTTCGAATCGGATGGAGAGCTACAGGTGAGGGAATGATTGAATTTCGGAAATATTAGTGACACTCGAGTGCATTCCGATAGATGCGATCGATTGAGCGGTATTCAAGTATCATTTAACTTTAACAAGCACCGATTGAGTTTCATTGTTTATTGGCGTTGCTCTCGGAGTAAAGAAAGAGAGAGAGAGAGGGAGAGGGAGAGAGGGAGAATAGCTGTACTTTAATTAACATGTGCTGAGAGGGAGCGAGAGGGAGAGGTAGAGGCAGGGAGCTGGGTAGCTGGGGAGAGGAACAGCTGTTGTGGCCTGCCAACTTTTCCCAAAAACAATATTTTCCATGTTTCTGCGTCTGTTTTTGTTGCTGCCTTTGGTGGTTGCCTAACAAATTAATATCATATTATTTTGCTGTTTGCTGGCTGCTCCACCTCCTCCTCCTCCTCCTCCACACCTATTATCACTCCCCTATCACTCTCCATACAATGCAGTCCTGCTTTACAGTTAATTTGGCTCCGGTTACATGTGAGAGTGCACGCATATGTCCATCTCTCCCTTCACATCGCTTTGGCAGCAATTTCCAATTGAAATTAATGTTTTATGGTTTCAGCAGAGACCACACACAGACACACACACACGCACACAGACAGTTGTACCATAAAGAGAGATAGATAGATAGTCGGAGAAAGAGATAGCTGAGGGCTCGAACAACAGCTGAAGGAAACGTTTTGTGCCTTCTTCTAATGCCAATTTGCTATCGAGTTTCCTGAAAGTGACAAAAGAAAATACCAATCCTCTTCTGTCGTTCTCCCTCTCCCTCTTCCACTCCTTCTCTGGCTCTTTGTCTCGCCTTTGGCCACGGCAAATTGGACATTCTTCTTCAAATTTCCTGTTTATGCTCCATAAAATCCATTGATGCGTTTAATATTGGCAACTTGGCTGTTCCGTCCGTCCGTCTGCCTCTTTGATGGGGCGCTGTGCCAAGGAAGTGGCAAAGGAAGGAACAGCGTGCCATGTACGTGGTCTGGCATTCAAATTGATTGTTGGGGTATGCCACGAGTGGAGGAAACGTCTGGCATTTCTCTACCAGCTTTTCCCTGTTTGAGTCATCGTCGTTGATGGCGCACAGCTGTTGAATAGTCGCTTTCGTTTATCCTTTAACGAAGGCGGAGCTCCAAATGTTGGGGAATGCCCGAGAATGCCCGAGAATGGTAACAAAACAACCACATACATGTCGTGTGCCTGATGACCAACCAACATTCGCCACAGATTCGGCAGCTCTGAGATTTTATTTTTATAATTATGCAATCCCAAGTATGGCTTTGCGGTGTAGGAGAGGGGGAAAGGGGGCGATCATAATTATTTATTTTTAATTTGTTTCGCATATCACTTGAAGTGGGCTCCGACCTGGTCCGGGTCTGCGATTATGCAACTTCTGTGTGCCTGTATGGCAGGCACCTGGAAAATGTTGCAGCAGCAGCGGCAGCCGTCGTAGTGGGGCATCCCACGCATGGTGCATGCCCCAGGCCCCGGGCCGACTGGCGCCTGCCCACATTCGGCGGCGGCATGGGGGGGAACGGGAAAGGGGCGCTGTTAATTGAATTTTTTCGCCAAACTATTTGAGAATATAAAATAATAATAACAGATACCCCGAAAATTGTGCTGGAAAACAGGTTCAGTTCTCCTTCGATCCGATCCGATCTGATCCGAAATTTATGTCAATTTCCGAAAGTGTTAATTGCTCTTGACGTGGATTTATGTGCGGGGCACTATTTGATCTGCTCTGCGGTCCGACAGTCCGTCTCTGCCACAAGTGGGGCTACTCAGTGGGGCAAAAGGGGGCAGGCAAAGGACCGCAGGCCAGGGGTTGCCCGATTTACATTCAAATGCAATGAATATTCAAGCTATTTATTATGACATTAAGTGGATGAAAATAGAAAATATAATGGAAAATGGAAAATGTCAATAAAAAGCGAATGGGAAAAGTTTTTCCCAATTTATGATTTGGTTGAAAATAATTTCGAATGATTTTCATGGCATTTTAATGCGGGGGGGGGACTGGAGGCGAAAGTAATTAAAACAAACTATTTGATTTCCAAAGATAATCGAATTACAAATTTACGGAATTTAGTTTAATAGATTTTATGATTTTATAGATGATTCAAAAGATAATCTTTTAATTTCCATTTCTTTTAGACACTGTCTGATTTTCAATATAAATTTTCAAAAATAACCAAAGAAGAAGAACAAAAATCCAATTAAAGAATATCAAAATTCTTTAGTTTTTTAACTTTTTCTAATATTCACAACAGACAAAGAAAAACTTAATTTGATGGCCATAGAAAGTTTCGAAAAATAATTATTTTCTTTTGCTGGAACACCCACACACTTTTGTTGGGTGTGTCAAGGGGCAGGGGGAAAAACCCTGATAAGACTGAGCCCCGAATTTGTGCGCTTTCCTTGGCAACAAATTATGAAAATGAAAAATGCCATCAGAGCAGCGTAAATCATCTGATTTTGACACGCATTATTATTTATCGCCTGGGTCGGCCCCAGAAAAGACGAAAAAAAAAAATAAAAAGGGGGAAACAGACATAACTTTCGACTGTCAAGTGCATATCAGGTGGCAATAAAGGTATAGATAATAGAGAGAGATATTTATATATATGTATTTTTGGCAGAGTTAAGCTGGTGGAATGAAGGAGCGGAGGAATGCCCTGGCAGAGGGTATTACCAAAGACTATACAATATATTGTATATACTATTGTATAGTCTTTGGTATTACCTTGTTTCCCCTGAGCTCGCAAGGCGGAAAATCTTCGAAAATTAAGTAGATCGTAAAGAATGATCAAAATTGTTATTTTGTTAATTTTTAATTTTTGTAATTTATTTATTATTTATTTAAAGTTTAAAATTTTTTATTATTTATTATTGCATATTAATATTTTTTGAACATTTTTTATTTTTTTATTTATGACATATTACTATTTATTTTAAATTTTCCTTTTATTATTATTTTGTTATTTATTTATTTGTAGTATTTTTATGTTTTGTTTTCGTTTTATTTATATTTCAGCTCTAGATATCCCGGGTATCCCCGAATATTCCTGTTGTAATTCCACCAGATGTTCCTTGTTTTTGTGTCCTTGTCGCCAAATAATCGTATAATACGAGGAGCCTTAATATTCCGACGCGCAACCGTATGGCAATGCCATAGTTTCAAGCACTCATCGCTCTCCCATTATGAATCATCCGCAAGGAGTGGAAATGCCATCCCAGGAGTAGGTGAAGGAGCAGGAGCAGGAGAAGGAGCAGTCACAGCAGGAAGAGGAACAGGAGCAGGAACAGGAGCTGGGGGGGAAAAAAAACTGAAAACATTTGCCATCTGACTTCTGCCCCGAGTTCCCTTTTTATTTCTCTGAGTTTTATGGCATTCTATTTTAGCTCGAGTGCTCCCCACAGATCCCAATCCCAACCCCAACCCCAGCCACCCCCCAAAAGCCCTCGACGTCTCGACGTTTGGCCCCGTCAAAACAACATTTCTGTGTGTTGGGCAAACCGCAAAGAGTCAAACAACCAGCGACAACGACAAACAGCCACTATACATATATATATATATATATATGGATCTAAGGATATATAAATGTGTGTGTGTGTGTGTGTGTATAATAAAGTGAAGCTGTTGAAAGCCGCATTAGATGGGGGGAGGGGGAGGATGAGGTTGAGAGCGAGTATGAAAGAGAGGGTGCTGTGCTGGCTGATGAGGGAAAATTCTCTGTGTGGCAAGCGTCTGTTGCAAAATCGAAAAAATATTGTGCGTCCAGGGCAGGGACAGGGGCAGGGACAGGGACAGGGGCAGGGGCTGCAATAATGGACTGGGCCAACACAAGAGTCAGCTGAGCGGAGGGCGAGAAAAATCGATAAATGCTTCGAATGTATGAATTATGTGTCTGTGTCCCTGCCTCCCTCCCTGCTGCTTGCCGCGCGACGTGGCCTGCTGCCGTCGATGTGTTGTATCTTTGAGATTCAGCTTCGACTGCTGTGCCCGCCCGTGCAACGGGTTAAGTTCAAGTGGCAGCTCATTGCACTCCCAGCACGAGATAGTGAGAGGAGCATTTTCGCATTTAATTTTTGCACAGCAGTCGGCTCTCGGATTCGGCGCCCACACGCAGTCCGCTTGGATTTATCCGCTGTCCAGAGCGACTGGGGCGACTCTGCCCACACAGAGCAGCCATCGACAACAGCCAGGGACCACCGCTGGCCGGGCGGCCAGTCCATGGACGGACGGCGACCAGTCGTCCCCAAAGTGCTGGAATGTTTTTGGCCAAACTCATATGCAAATATGTTACGAGCACTCGTCTATCCCTCACCGGGGGAGGTTGGGGGGTGGGACAGGTCCCGCCAGGAGCGTGTCGGAAGGGTAGTAAATCAATGGATGGAATGGAATATTCATTCATTTGGCCACTGTCTCTGTTTTCCATTGTGTCATCAAAATCCCCAAAACACAGCCACATTTTCCACAATAAAATCTCAGTTGTGGCAAGGAATCCTCCCCCCATCCCCCCCACACACAGGACATACGAAACATTTTTGTGAACTAAAATAATGGGATATACAAATTTAGCAATAAATGGTTCTAACGGTTGTTTTTCCTCCATAAATATTCTTCCTCCGAGGAAAAACATTCAAATATCTCCAAAAGCTGCGCTTCAATCACAATCTCTTCAAATTGTTGTTTATTTAC